GCAAGATACCATTGCGAGAGAGAGAGAGAGAGAGAGAGAGAGAGAAAGAGAAAGCGCGCGAGCGAGAGAGAGAGAGAGAGAGGTTAAGAGAGAGAGAGAAACAGAACGTTTGGTGTACACAGCTCGAAGCAACAATGCTCCTCGTGACCGATATCCGTTTTCGAGCGCGACGCGCGGCAAGTACTCGCGCGTGCAAGCACAAGATGCGCCAGTTTACATGCTAACCGGTCGCAAATTGATGACAGTACCGACAGATCGACGCGGATTCAACGCGGCGAGTAATCGCTTCTCTCCCTTGTTACCGGCTACTTCGGGTAATTAAGTTTCCTGTAGTTTTCACAGGCCACCAGCCTGCTCCGGAGATCCAATTGCCGTAACTACCGGCCGCAACTCTTCAATCCACCCTTCGAGTAGCCAGTGATTCCGCTTACACGGAAATTACCTCCATGTTGCACCGCCCTGCGGCTCTTGCTGATTTTTCCCAAAGCAACTGTAGTCCACTGTTCGAATTACGCTACGAGATAGTTCTGTCTTTGAAGTGAAAACTGACGCTGGAATGAGATGCGTCAGAAAATGAGAGTTACAAAAAAAAAAAATGAAAGAAACACGTAAGAGAGAAAGAAAGATAGAAAGAAAGAAAGAAGCAATGGAGAACGATATGTGGTTGACTTTTAACTTTATATATTATACGTTGAATTAACGTACTTCAGTGGGATCCAATAATATATAGCGGTGTAATCCCCGATTTGGTGCCTTTTTAAGCGACATAAATAATATTGACGAGGAAGGGAAAAAAAAAGAAAGAAGGAAGGAAGGAAAGAAGTTGAGAGAGAGAGAGAGAGAGAGAGAGAGAGAGAGGAAAAAAGGAATAAAAAAAAAAAAAAGAGTAATAATAATAAATTGTTATTGAGAGAAAGAAGAAGCCCGGGATCGTGGGCGCGCGCGCGCGCGTGTGTGTATATCCCTCTTTTTAAAATGCGCGCCCGATGATCGCAATCTTAGTGCCAAATAAGTAAGACCTTGTCGTGAAAATGAGCGTGAAATTGAAGGAGGCGAGAAAATAATAAAGAAAGGGAGAGAGAAAAAAGAAAACCAAAAAATAAAAAAAAACAAAAAAAAAGAGAGAAAGATGAACAAGAAGAAATTTTATAGGGAACTTTTTAGAGAAGACAAGTCTTTTCTGACGCTGGGTAGACTTAGTATATTTTATATGCACTGATTGTTTGATTATGACTATCGATAATAAAAAGAACGGTGTTCAATAGATTGTAACTGAAGGATTTTTAAGTCTCGCTTATAAACCGATTTTTGTTGTCTCATATACTACATACACGCATTCACGTCTCCGTTTTCTTTTTTTTTCTCTTTTTTTTTCTTCTTTTTGCGCGCGCGCACACACATGCACACGCATTTTTGCCACACTCCTCGACGTTTTCGGAGGAAACGAAACTACACACACACACACACACACACTTTGAAATTGTGCGCGCCTGATCGAGATTTTGCGAGATCCGCTGACGAAAATTCTGTACAAGCGATAAAAATCAACTTGCAAAAGAATTATCAAACGGTGAAAGAGAAATGGCGAAAACGCGCAAATGAGCGCTCATTTTTTTTTTTTTAATCGGGCAAAGATAAATTGTGTTCGAAGCGCATCTCGATAAGTCCGACTCTGTCCGACAAAACCAGTCGTGTATTGTGTACAAAAAAGAGCGCATCGAAAGAAACAAAAAAAGAAGAAAAGAAATAATAATGTGGTGATAATGAGTGAAAGAGATGATAAAGTGATGTTCAACTGTCTTTTTTCTTTTCGTTTTTCAAACCAGCGTCTTTTAAACATCGTTTCATTTATAGAAATCAGATTGTTTTTCTCTTTACGATAATGACTATATTTATGTGTACACACAGATGGAAGATCCAAGTTCGATCTTTTTTAACAGCGCGCGTGAAAAAAATCGAACGAATTTCCGAAAGCTTCGTCCCATTAACTGCAATAACACGTTTTTACGAAAATTTCACAGATATTACGACGTCACTTTTAATTTTCATACATACATTTACCAACATTCTTTATTTTTTCTCTCTTTCGTTACAACATTTTCGTAACGAGAGCGTTGACGCGTCTGCGTCGTTTCTTTTCAACGATCGTACTTCGCGCTTTCGAAAAATGCGAAACAATAAAAAAAACGAGCGAATGAGCGTATTTTACCTGATAGTGAAACACATTTTTTGTTATCAATGGTATATATTTGAACAACAAGAAAATAGTGACCGAAAAAACGATCATCGAGCGAGAAATTGTGCGTTGTAACGAGAAAAATCGATTGAAAATTAGTGACCTGGATTGTCTTCTAAGTACAATGAAAAACACACACACGGCAAAACAGTAATACACAAACGCATACACACGTACACACACATATACAATAACACAGAACATGCTTGTCGAGGAAAGTAGCAGACTAATTGAAACTCGAGAAAAAGAAGGTAATTACCATAATATAAACGAGCATACAAAGCGCAGCTACTCACAGTAGAACATTATTTTACTTCTTTTCATTGCGTTTTGTTCTTTTTTCTACCGTTTTGTGTTATTATTAATGCGTTGAATTATTGTTCGCACGTATGTGGAACGTGAGTGTGTGAATGGATCACTCGTTGAAATAGTTGACACGCAAATCTCTTTGTATCGTCTCGAGTTTTAATCTCGAGGATAATTTTCAAAGCGACGACGAAATCATCATGTGAAAGTGCCATAAGTTACTTCGAACCGAAGGGATTTGTCACAATCGCGGTTAAATTCGAATCACGAATTGTTTGCAACCGTTTTTTTTTTTCTTCTTGTCTGTTTTTCATTCTTTTTTTGAAAGCAAATTTTTCTCCTTTTTCTTTGCTTTGTTTTATTTTCTTCTTCTTCTTCTTCTTCCTAATCTCACGATATACACGTATATCTGTACTACTACGTTCCACAGCCGTGTTCTTACGTAGATTTCTCATTAGTCATTTGAAACAAGAAATCACACACAACCTTTCCCCCCACCCAAAGTTGTATATCTCGATATACCCCGATTACATACATTACACCAAATTCGAGAATTCCCGCACTCACCATGAAGCACCGTTACTCTTAGCCAAAAATTACTTTTATTTAGTTTCGTTTTAGCGATCGTGAGAGATGCGTCTGATCGGTGTCGAATAATCAGCCGTTGTTCTCTCGTTGTTGTTTTTTTTTTTAAATGAAAGCTCTCCATTCGAGGAATGGCGTGTTAGTCTAGAGGAAAATTCATCGAATGGTTTTTCTCGTTTGACGAAAAATCTTCCAATTGAAGTGTGGATTATCGACGGGAAGAGACGACGAGCCGATAAGTTACCGATCGGACAGCGTCTCTTTTTAGATATTAAGATTCCGTCGGTGTGGCTTGTTCGAGTAAAGAACGCGAACGTTCTGTTTGAAAATTTCTAGCCGGATCCGAGAATTGGTCACGAATTCTCTGAAAATGTGTCCGGAAAAATTGAAGAGAGGAAAAAACGATCGACCGTTCTGTAAAGATTACTCGAGAAGCCAGTCGCGATAGGAAGCCAGCAATTATTATTTTTTATGGACTTTTGTTTTGCATGTTGCGTATGCGTATTGTTGATTTATTATTTTTACTGTCCAGACAATGAAACAAAATGAAATATTTGGAGAACAAGAAAAAAGATAAATATATATATGTACATGGTTTGTTCGTTGCATTTTAACTTTTGATTTTTATCGAATTCAACTGGTTACTGTTGTTGTTGTTTTTTTTTTATATTTTCAGTATAATCGTTATTTATTGTTGCGAGAAACGAACGATTTTTTAGTAATTAGTTGCATTTACGGCGATTATTATAAATTTGATAATTCACTGTGCGCCAAATTTAAGAGTAATTTTCTTCTGTGCGCTGTTTCAAATTACTGTACGATTCATTGTGTGCAAAATTGGCGTTTCTTTTCTGTGAAAATTTTCAAGTAATTTTCTTTTGTGTTCTGTTTCAGTCGCACCGGTGAAAAATTTACAGAACGACGTCTAAAATCACGTGAAAATTAGCAGAATCGTTTCTCGCACAATTTTCTGTACAAAGTACAACATAGTGTTTGTAGCACGACAAATTTTGGTACACGACTGTTACATTACGACGTTTATTTATCTTCTCTACAAAGTTGCTCGGGCAGTTTCGCTTGGAAAGTTTCCAGTGCGTCTTTAACAACGTGTACCAAAATTAGGCAAGCCGTAAATTTGTTTGAAACAACACCTGACGAGTTCATTATTAGCTGCTCTTACCATTTGTTCCCTTTTTTACTTTTCTCCCATTCCGTTCTATTTTCTGTTTAATCGATAAACATATTCACCAAGCGTTTTCAGCATGGACACTCGATGGACTCCTTGGAATTGATCTGTTAAAGGAGTACACGAAACGTAAGAAAGCTTTTGTTAAAAAAAAAGAAAGAAAGAAAGAAAAAAAAAACGATCACACTTTGTTCCATTTTTTTTTTGGTTCGATCAAAATAGCGAGATTTTTTATTTATCATCGCCAAAAAATACCCCTGAAAAATCCTCGATCCTTTTCTCTATTATTTCTCGTTTAAGTAGACAAATTGTTTATTATGTTACACTAAATTCTCATTTTCAGCTATTCACCCAGATTTTACTCCTATTTTATAGCGAATCATTCTCATTTGTGGTCTCACACTGAGCCGTAAATATCTTTTACGGCTCGTCGTAGCCTACGTATTCATGTTATTTTGCACGCATCAAAGTATACCGTAAAATCGAGAGACTGTCGAAAATATATTTATTTCTCACTTGAAATTACCTCACAGTTTGCATGTCGATATATAATACACACACACACACATTACGTAGCCGTAAAAGGACAGATCTCTCGATCATACTGATTGTCGTAAAAAAAGAAAGAAAACGTAGCCCAAAATCGTAAACGGACAATTCTCATCTTATCAACTATTTCTTCCACAGAGTTTTCATCGGGCAACGGAAAGGTGGACGGCGACACGTGGAAAGAGAAGACACGAAATCTCGGCGGCACAGGTTCGTCATCGTCGAGTCAATCGGTCACGGAGTCGTCGAACGCGAGATCACACGCAACGAGCGGCAACAGTTCATTGACCACGAGCACCAGCTCGGCCTCCAGTTCCGGTACAACGACAACCACCACGTCCACGAGAAGTTCCTCAGCGTCGCCCGCTACCGGAAGGAACAACGCGCAGAACAACGGAGGTGGCAGCAGTAGCGGTAGCCCAGCGCCTACCACCAATTCCTCGTCGACGAGCGGTCACCAAATCGGCACTATGTCCGCACCGCCTGGTCGACAAGTCCCCAAGAGACGTATGAGACGTCGCGCGACTTCTCACTCGCAAGATCCGGCCGAACAACTCACGGAGATGTCCGTGCGCGGTCTGAATCTCTTTCGTTACGCCTCGATCTCTGAGGGTGTCTATCAGTGCACCGAGTGTGCGAAGCTCGACATTCAGAAGACGTTCAAGAACAAGTACAGCTTCCAACGACACGCTTTCCTTTACCACGAAGGCCATCAGAGGAAGGTGTTCCCGTGTCCAGTATGCGGCAAAGAGTTCTCCAGGCCTGACAAGATGAAGAATCACATGAAAACCGTTCACGACTGTTTCATGCCGAAGGACTGCGTCGTACCGTTCGGTTTTTTTCTCTCGCCTTAGCGGGAGGCGCGAGGGCGAGATGGGGTGGTGGCGATCGGTCCGAGAAGAAGAGCGACGCCGGCGGCGAACGACAATGCGAGAAGAAGAAGAGAGGAAACGGACACGGCTGGTAGTAGCGACCTCCATAGTAACGCGAGGAGCACGATCTCGAGGACGAGTTTAAGGCAGCAACAACCTGGTGGTGCCGTGAACTCGAGGATGCTCGCCGTATTCAGGCGGGGCCGTTTATGAGAGAGAGAATCCTACCTTCGTTTAGAAAACTGTTGTGTCTTCTCAGCATCGCCCTAGGTCTAGTCACCCGATTCAAGATGAAAACAAAATGACAATAGACATCTACCACACTTACACGTGCATGCACAGAAACACGAAAGGTCACACACACACACGCACACGCACACATACAAAGAAGGTGGTCGAGAATGAAAGAAAGAAAGAAGATATCTAGCTTGTGTGCTGCCCGCGGACCAATCGCGTAGCCCATCTCACCCCCGCGACGATCTATCTTCCCTTGTATCGAGCATGATCGAACTATACAAAGAAAACACGCGCTCGTCGATCGATTTGTATAATCAGTCGTCTTTTGTTTTCCAATGGGAGTGGAACAACACGTCGAGTGGTGGCTGTCTTTCGAGGAAGAACGAAGAAGGTCGAGGACGGATGGTAGAAATCATCGGCCTTCCATACGTGGAGGAGGAGACACTGAACGCCTGAGGATCGAGATGCAAACCACTTGCTCAGCGGGACGAACCGTCGAGTGATTTTTATTCGCGGAGAATTTCTTCTCGCTCTTCTAGAGAGAAATTGTAATATCTATTGCTTATCGAACAACCTCTGTGAACTACACTCGAGTGGTGCTGCTGTGTACTGCAATTAGTATTATGATGATCGTTGAACTGTGCAATAGCGCCGCAATGCTTTGCGAACCGATCGATGGCTCTCGCCGTCTTCTGGTCCTCCTTCGACTAGTAATCTCGCGTGGCCGTGTTTTTATTTTTCTTCGCCATTTATTTTACACGCGGGAACGTAGACCGCCTGAATGTATTCGAGGTGAATTGGAATTGTAAAAGGAGGTGTTGCTTTCTTCCGTTGGTTTTTATATCGTAAAAAGGACTCTTCGTAACGCGACAGAGGTTTGGGGAAAGAAAAGCCTGAAATGTCGATAAGATCGTGTGCGAAATAATTAGAGAAGAATAGTTGTAGGGGCGGATACGTTTGCGTATGTAGAATACACGGGTGAACAAAAACCTTATTGTTTCACAATATGCTGAAAATGTGTCGTTTCCGGGCCCGCGTAACCGTAGAATTTACCCTTTTTTTTTTCTCTTTTTTTGTAATCAAATGGTCGCAGTATTTTACGCGGGCGTAGTCTGCATATATAGAATTCCAATTTTCTCGTTATATTTTGAGAGTGAAAATTTATAACTATATCGGCGAACAAAAAAAGGAAAGAAGTATATATATATGAGTACTGTATATTTCTGCGAAACTAACGAGCTTTCTCGTGCCTTTGTCTATTTCTTTTTTTTTTTTTATATATATATATATTAAAATTAGCGTTTCTGACGCACGTAATCCACGGACAGGAGAGAAAAATAATGTATATCGAAATTTCTTCGCGAGAGAACGTTCTGCACACCCTTTATTTTTTGCCCTTTTCATTTTTAGCGTAACAGAGTAACGTAAGCAATACGATTAATGGGACTGACAAAGTATAATACGGATAAATATTCTCTTTTCTTAGAGCATACCGTTGATAGCTTTAAAAATCTTTGGAATGCTTTAACTCGCGTGATTTTTTGTTCTTTTCTTTTTCTTTTTATTGTTTTGTTCTTTTAACCGACCTCTATTAACTTCAACCGTTCACACGTGAAACGTTGGTTTACGAATTATGTTCTCTCTTCTTCTCGAGATACTTCCAAACTTTGCACTGTTCGCAATCCTTTTCTTCTTTTAAATCTGCACATGTGTAAAAGTCGAATTAGATTTTCTAAAATATGACACCTTCGTCAATTCACATTGTACAAAGAAAAAAGTGCTCTTACTAGAATTAACTCGACCAAATTGGAAAAGTACAACGAAAAAGTGATAGAACAGCCAGAGATCGATTGTCGTCAAAGTGTGCAGAGTTTCTTAGTCAGGATTTTTTATCACCTATTATTATGTGTTTTTATTTTCTTATTTTTTTTTTTTTCTTGTTTCTCTTAATAATTTCTAAGCCTTCCAAACAAATTTGATTCCAATGGTGCGTAGCAGAAGCATATTAGTAAAATGTTAAAAAGATAAAGAAGAAAGAAGATGAAAAATGTATATTTATCAAAGAGTTTATTAATAGTTCGCTACGAGCACAAGA